ACAAGGGCTGTTTTATAGGAGAGTTTGTCCTGGGTATGGCTTGAGGAGTGTGGGTCTGTGTATGTGTTGATCCAGAGAAGGGCTTGATTAAATCAAATGATGTGGATTGTTGTCTCTTCATTTGAATTGTGTTATAATTATGTTTACATTGTGTTAATTGGGTTTTGTGTGTCTGCTTGTATGCGTTTACAATTTGAAACAAATGTCTAATTCATTCTTATGTTTGCTATAAACTTAAAGGATTTTACAGATTGTTAACCAATAACTTCATTGGAGACCTTGGTTAGTTAACACATGATTCCCTATACAACAGTGGTTCCCCAACCTTTTCGGCTTGGTGGACTGGCGGGGGGGAGAAGGGATGGTCCTGTGCTAGCGGCAGGTGCATGTGTGTATAACTCCATTTGCGCAAGCAGCGGGCGCGTGTGCTCGCTACTCGCACAAGTGGAGCTGTGTACATGTGCATGCTCACCCCCTGCTTGCACAGCCCAGAGGATTGGCACTCCTGCTATACAATATTTCTAACCAGGGGTAGGCAACCTCGGCTCTTTTATGACTCGTGGACTTCAACTCCCAGAATTCCTGAGCCAGCATGGCTCAGCTTGGAAACCTCTCCCTTTCCCCTCAGCATGGCTGGCTCAGGAATTCTGGGAGTTGAAGTCCACGAGTCATAAAATAGCCGTGGTTGCCTACCCCTGTTTCTAACCCATAATTCTAACAATTATATAAATTTATAAATTCTTCCCACACTAGGAAACAGTATCCCGGTTCAAACACCAAGTATCAGATCAGCTGGGGGTCATGCGGTCCTATCTGGGGGTGCTGGAGTCTTCCCTGGGCCAGGAGGCTGAGCGGGTGCAACAACAGGCCACCGAGGCCTTGCAAAACGAACGCAAGACCTTGACCCGCTACCTGGACCAGCTCAAGCAGATGGAGATGGTGCTGGGCAACGTGCAAGACGAACCCCAGACCGAGTTCCTGAGGGTGAGGCACCTCCATTGCCCTCGTTCTGATCTTTTTCGGTCTCGATGAAACTAAAAAACCAAGTCAAAGCTGATCACGCTTCTGCATTGTGTGCTCAACCTTATTGTCGGCATATGTGGTGTACAGGTGGTCCTCGACTTACAACCGTTCGAAATTACCACGGCACTGGGAAAAAAGGCGACTTACGACCATTTTTCACACAACCGTTGCAGCATCCCCATGGTCACGTGATCAAAATTCGGATGCTTGGCAACTGGCTCATATTTATGACCTTTGCTGTGTCCCAGGATCATGTGATCCCCTTTTACAACCTTCTTTTTTTTTTTTTTTTTAAGAAATTTTATTTATTTTTTTCCATCATAAAAAACAATCATAAGTAAACACAATAACCAATCAAAAAACCCCCCACCCCCCCCGGACTTCCCAAACCTAATCCCAGGATAATATTCATATAAAAGTAAACAAATACTAATATCTCTAACTCCACAAAGTATCTTAATCTACAAGAAAGGATAGAAAGAGTAAACAAACTTAAAAAAATCTAGAAACCTAAACTATATTCTACCACTCTGTGTTTCTTTTGAATATAAACAATCCATCTTCTCCATATTGATAAAAATTGTTCATTCGAATGGTTCTTCAAATAAACCGAAATCTTTGCCATTTCAGCAAGATACGAAACTTTCAATCTCCAGTCTCCCATCGTTGGCAGAATTGGGCTCTTCCAATTTTGGGCTATCAACAATCGGGCAGCAGATAAACAGTAAAGCATCAAATTTGTTTCTTTTGCATCTAAATCTTGTACAATACCTAAAAGAAACAACTGTGGAAGGAAAATAATCCTTTTTTTAAAAATCTGCTGTAGGTTCCACCATAATTGTACCCAAAAGGCCTTAATAACCTTAC